ATCATAGATGAGTGCTGGATGATCTGTTTCTGTTTTCAGTGATCAGTCAGGTCCGACACTTTCTGGGCTGGCAGGGTTGTCCTTCAGGCTTGAGATGGAAACGTACTGGGCCGCCCTCCCTCCCCTTGGCCACAGATTTTGTGGGCTAAAATCTCTGTAATGGTCGAAATACTAGCTAAAGGTACACCTCATAATTACTTCAAGAGTCTTTGAATACCGTTCCTTCACATTTGAAACATAAATCACTCACTGTACCAGCCTCCGGCAGTGGATCAACGCCAAACAAAGCAGAACCGTCTTAATCACGCATCCAACATGCAGTCATGGCCTGTTTCTTCTACTCGATACTTCTACTTGGAGACTTCTTTTAACTGGGTGACTTGTTTGTGGCAATCCTCACTCCATCACGTTGTAAACAATCGATGTTGCATGCGGTGGCTAAGTTCATGGGAAAGAACATGCTTGATATCAATATCCCGCGAAGCTGGGTATAGCCCAGAACCAATGACCCGTGGCATAAATTGCATTTAGAGTCCGTAATCTTGTTGTCCCAATGGATAACTCCTGACTTCCTTCACAGTCATTTGTAATAACCTTCTTGGGAATGGCTTGCCATAAAACCCGTGTGGCCATTTTGTTTCAATTCTCATCTGTTTCTTTCCAATATGACAGCGGAGTTGACATTGACCTCAGCTTTGGCAACTTTGGCTAAGTTAAATTTACGTATTCAACTATCCCTTCTGGGTGGTTTGGCAGTCGGTCTATAGGCGCGTCATGCCACATCTCTAGCTTTCTGCGATCAAGCGATGTTTTGTGCCTTGCTACAGCATTGATTGCTTCTAGAGAGGGCTGATGGAAGGGGAGTTTGGAACTGATGAACGACTTCTTACCAAAAATGGTAGCTACCATATTCTTTATTTCCCCTGAAGGGGGGGGAGACGCAATAGTAGACGAGTGCCAACATTTGACATAGAGCAATGCCTAGTATTATGAGATAATATCAAGTATTTAATGAGAATTTTTTTTTTTAAAGCGAATATATAATGGAGCGACCGTATGGGTCTGTTTATTTAAAAATGAATGCCAGTCAGCTTGCTCGAAACAACTGACTGCAGTTAGACTGTTGTACTTGTATGACGTTGACCCTGTAAGTTTTGGCAAAATATGCCACAATCTAGGACAAAGCCTCTTGACTTTCCCCCATTGGCAATACTGTGGTGGAGCAATGGTTTGCTCGTTAGATCGTCACAGATGCTTGATTACTGTAAGCGGTTATCAATTTTGCGTAAGTAAAAAGCAGCTATTTTAGCACATCACTTGTCTTTGCTTTGTAATGGTTGGTCAAGCATTCAGAACCTATCTTTGAACATGGGTGGTTTAAATGACGAGCAGGGCTACTCTGCTTGAAGCACAGAGTTTGAGGTGTAAAACAGCACCATTAGAGCCTGTTTCTTGGCCCAAGGCAGGGGTGCTAAAAGCAATATTCAAGATTTCGAGGAAGAGGTTCAAAATTGGTGACATTTTAACCTTTTAGTGACCTCATCTTATTCAACTATCATTAGAAAGAGCTCTTAAAATACCAACATTTTTGAGTGGTCACATGATCGCATTAGCTTTTAAAAAACAACCAGATCTAGTATGACTTTTTGTTTCGCGCCCACCCCTATTTTTCGCAATTTTGAGTTACGCTGCTCAACACAAAAGGGTTAATACAGAAAATTGCTCAAGGGTGACGGGTGGTCAGTCCACCTAAAAAAGTGATAGACCAAACCTAGTCTACAAGAATCAGGCAAAGAAAAAACTTTAACTCTTAGTGCAGGGTCGCGCCAAATCAGGGTTTGGCTCCCGACTATACGTGCCGTTTGTTTTGCACGCGTTGTGTCAAAACACCCGCCGATTTCGAGTCCGCTGTGTGCAATCGCCTTCGCATGATGCGACGGCAACCCGTGATCGTGTCTGGTACGAACACCATTGAAATACTTTGGGAATCTATTGGAATTAGAAATTTCTGGCTAAATGTTTCGGCAATTTTATGGTAAAATGTGTGCACCAAAGCGTGGTAAAATCGGCTAAAGACGATCGGTAATCTAAACTGATAATTGCGCCGCATTTCTTCTGCCTGCTACAGATGTTTATGTTTCGGTGTAAAGTTAGAGACTTCAAATTGCCCACACGTGTAAATACTCATTACAAAATCAGGGTGAACATCATAAATATATAAAACTTGTAAGAATTATTTCCAAAAGAAGCTCTTTTATTTACAATTGTGTGCTGTCGAGTGAAATACAGAAGTTAGGTGTGATGTTTTTTCATTTTCCAAAAAAGTGCAGTTATAAGATCAAATATAGGCATTTTACATACAGACTACTTCGCAACAAAACCATAGATTGCTGCGTAGTTCTAAGCCACAAAGCTGAAATCTGAACAATGGCATGCCCCCAAGATACACTCATGTACTATTCAAGTAGCGCAGAAGTGGGTCAGCCATATGATAACACTGCTATAATATAGTCAACAAAACGTGAACATTGCCCAAACTATTACGATTTTAATGAGGCTGCATTATAGCAGTCCTGATAACACGCGCGCGACTGCAACTTCGCGGCTCAAACTCGAGTATGTAAACTACGAACTGCGTGTTTTTATGCAGGCTGGCTTAATAAGCGGCCCTGAGGTAACGACGACTGCCAAGTCCAAAACAGACCTATTTCCTTGCATCATGCAGTCACAAATCACGCTTAAAAAATGATTGAATACGGCCTACCAATGTAGAGAAATTAATATTCGGCCTAAAAATATAAATCAAGCATGTTATCTGAACACTTGAGACAAAAATACATTTAATTAAGATATTATTCCGAGAAATTACAACAAGAAGGAGAACGACCGTTAATTAGCACAATAATACGAATGTTTTGATCGAAACACCGAGGATAGCCAATGCATCAATAACTTTTACATGAAACCAAAATATTTTTATGCGCAAATGTTTAAAAAAGCATCGTTGTAAAATACAATGCGCAAAATCCCACACCACATCCACAAGTTACCGAATGTTCCTCTCAGGTTATCTTTCATTTGCGTATCTTTTCAATCTTCTGCCTGGTGTTTGTATTTAAAAAGCACGGCATTTTGCCGATAGACCAAATATCCCAATACTTAAAGACGGAATCCCGTGACACAAAATCTGTGCTACGGTCTTTCGGCTTTCGTCCTGCACGCCGCATACATCCCCTTCGCATGTAGTGGTGTAACTTCCTTCAAACCAGTGAAACTTCCAGGTTTTCTTCACTTTGTTCACCTTCAAGAATATTGTATACATTATTTTTACTCCGGAAAAGTTATTTAGGTGTGAACAACACTTTAATAAAGTAATGAGGCTAATAAGTACACATCTGGTAGGCGTCATGTTATGTGGAGTATTTCCTATTCGAAGTTATGTGAGATACATTTATGTGTTATAAAACTTGCCAGTTCTTTCCATTGTATGTGGCACACAGCTAGAGGCGACTATACAGCTGGAATTTACTGTGATGTGCAACAATTGCCGTTTTCATGATTACACGTGTAAATGTTACCCTCAGCTAGCTACCTTTCCATTCCATACCTGTGTTGCCTGTTTTCTGTATACACAGCTACAAACTGCTACAGCTGATGATGTTGGTCGCTGTTCCTCTTCCACGCACATGCACGAGCAAGGGCATCCCCATAATACAACCTAATATTTTCAAGGTTTTAAAAAGCATATGAGAAACAATAACAGCTGCTGAGCAAGAATATTCATATGGCATACGAGTCATAAGGACATTTAGCTCATTTCATATCTATTTACTGGTAGTTTGTTTATTAAGAAAATCAAGTTAGGCGCACACATATTACATGTAAATATAATCTATGTTCTTTATATATACAACGATATAATGTAACAGTAATAATAAAGCGGTTTTACAATATAAATGGTTTATTTTGTAGCTAATAAAAACAGACATGTGGTTCAGTTGGGTAATCATAAACGTATATTAATATGTGACATAATATACTTACTGGAGGACAATCAGGTATTCTAGGCCCATTTTGAAATCGCTGTATGATGCGTTTGTGGAGCAACTCAACACAAGATGTTTCTTCAGGTATATTATTTGCTCTCACATGTGTCGGACGCAACTTCGCTAACTGCTCTAGCTGTGTCACACAAATTTGGAACCTAAAACAATACAATTCTATTCGAAGCGTTGGGGTTAGCGCAAACAGTCACTTTTTCAATGTGAACTATCTTTTCGAAGTGCAATCGTATATGCAAATATTATTGGGCGACATTCTATGTTCATCAATCCACCGACATAATATATTAATACTCTAGACATCATTCTTTAGTCCACCAGCTTGTATATTATTTACGTGAAGAGAAGTGAAGAGCATACGATGCTTTATACGAGTTCACATATGATGATGGCATTTTTTTAGCAATTCTCTCTATATTTTGCTAACAAAATTAAACACAATGTTTACCTCAGTCAGATTCTCTAAACTGTCAATGTAGTATTGCCACCAGGCATTGGCATCGGCTGGTATCCGAGCACCAAATCTACCTGGCAGATCACGTTTAAGTTGGGATACTTCAAGCTTATGAAGTGAAGGCTGCACGTAATCTGGAGGTGCGTTAACATCTGGGACTGTCTATATACAACAACATAATAAAATGTGAAAATGTGGTTCACGTACTGTAGCCACAAAACTAAAAAACGGTGAGTTTAGCTACAATATAACCACTTTCCGTTCAGATATTATATTCTTACAACTTTCAATGTGTCAACGTTGATTAGTCGATACCTTAAGACACTTTAGTCCTGGGTAGTCTGCGTCAACATGGTCTTCAGCTAACAAAAAAACATTTATAATTATTAAAGCATATTTCGAAAAGGTGAACATATGGTAGGAACCTCAGTTACGACAAAAAGAACGCTATTTCCTTTAGCTTCTTGTATACCTTTTATCCACAC